CCGCCCCCACCCCCGCCGCCCCCGCGCTACGGGCCGGGCGGGGAGGGCGCAGCGCCGGGGGCCGAGGCGGGGCCGGCGCTGGAGCCCTATGGGCTGCTGTACAAGGTGGCCGTGCCACCCACTGCCTTCCCGCCGCCCGTGGTGAGCATGAGCCCGCTGCCGCCCGCCTTCGGCGTGGCCTCGTCGCTGCTGCCGCATGCGGGTGTGCCCTACCCGCCGCTGCACTACGCTCAGCTGCCGCCCGCCTCGCTGCAGCTCGTGGGCCCGCACTACACCGTGCCCTATGCCGTGCCGCCCGGCTTCCTGCCCGGTCCCCTGCTCTCGCCCTCCGCCGGCCTGGGCACCTCGCACGTGCCCCACTTCGTGCCATACGCCTCTCTGCTGACCGAGGAAGCCGCCGTCTCCCCTCCAACTACCTCTCCTGCCCACGCCTTCAGCAAGCCTGCCTCTGCCCTCTCCCCCTCCGGCCAGGTCCAGCACGACCATGCTGGGGCCCAGCCTTTGGACATTGCCCAGGGGAGGCTTCCTGTCTATTACCACATGTCCCGGCTGCCCCCGGGCTTCTCGGCATATGAGATGCCTGCTGCCGCTGGAAGCCCAGATTCTCCCGCACAAGAGAATCGGATGAATTCGGAGGCAGCTTCTGCCAACGGCGGGCAGAGACATCTGGAGCATCACGTGGCACGGAGGACTGGCGAGGCTGTCGACTGTGCCAGCGGCAAAGCCGAAGCCCAGCTGTGTGGGGCGGCCGTGGAGTGCGTGTTGGATGGACAGTTCCTTTCAGGTTACCAGACTCTGAGAACAGAGGTCTCTGTGCCAGCTCACAGAAGCACCCCGGATACTGACCTGGAGGTACAGAGGGTGGTTGGGGTGTTGGCGTCTCAGGATTACCCGATTCTGGCAGCCCAGAAGAAGGATGGCCTGAGTCCTTTAAACCTTTGCCATAACATCCCTGATCAGCAGGGGGAGTCGGGGGACTTGTGGAGGAGTCCCGTGGAGGCGGCTGCTGCTGCTGCAGAGAAGAACCAGCCCCGGAGCCCTTATGCAATGTCCCCCGAGGAGCCAGTCAGACACAGACAGCTAACCAAAGGAATGGCGATAGCCAACGGCAAGCCGGTTTTAGTGCCGGTCGGGTCCGAATCCATCAGGTCTTCCGCCTCAGAGACCCTGATACGGCAGAGTCCCAACATGCTTGCCCGGGGGAACATGCTGGACAAGGATTTGGGCCCGGTGCAGCCCCCCAGCTCTTCCCATCTGCCTTCCCATTTCATGAAAGGAGCCATCATCCAGCTGGCCACAGGAGAGCTGAAGCGGGTGGAAGATCTGCAGACCCAGGACTTTGTGCGCAGCGCAGAAGTGAGCGGGGGCCTGAAAATCGACTCCAGCACAGTGGTTGATATCCAGGAGAGCCAATGGCCTGGGTTTGTTATGCTGCATTTTGTAGTGGGGGAGCAGCAGAGCAAAGTGAGCATCGACGTGCCCCCGGAGCACCCCTTCTTTGTGTATGGCCAGGGCTGGTCCTCCTGCAGCCCGGCACGGACTGCCCAGCTCTTCTCCCTGCCCTGCCACAGGCTGCAAGTGGGGGATGTCTGCATCTCCATCAGCTTGCAGAACATGAATGGCAACTCTGCTTCTCAGGCAACCTGCCCTCCCGCAACCCAGCTGGTGCCTGCCAGGGAGCGAGCTGATAGAATGGTGCAGGGGTCCAGAGAGCACCCTCCTGCACCTCTGCACAGTGAGAGGAAGAGCCAGGCAGAAAGGGACAGCGCTGCCCATGGTGCCTGTGCGGAGCCCTCCCAGCCTGAGCCGGGTGGCCAGCACGGCTGGGCAGCCCCCAGCTTCCAAAGATGTACCACGCAGGGGGAGGAGCCTCGGCCATCCCTGCTCCGTCCCTCCTTCATCCCCCAGGAAGTGAAGCTGTCCATTGAAGGGCGCTCAAATGCCGGGAAGTAACGCTGCGAGGCCCTCACCTGGGTCATGCCCCTGGCTGAGCCCTCCTTTGTCAGGTGGAGATTTTGCACAGACTGAGCGACGGGCTCACCGGCAAGGCTGCTGTCTGCCCTGCAGAGCTGGTTCGGTTCCTGTTCAGTCACTGATCAGATCCTCTCCTGGAATCCAGAGGGCTCCAGTGCCTCAGGGAGCAGCAGCAACAGGCGAGTTAGGGATGGAGGATGGGGGATGTGGTCATGGCTGTGTGGCCACAAGCATTCCAGAGCTCGGGGCTCTCACGCCCCTGAGTGCCTGAGCGTCCTGCAGGCCGGGGGTGG